CTTAATTAATTAACATGTTTTTCCCAAACACATTATGTTTCTAGCATGGATGGGGCAGCAGAAGTTTTCTGCTCTAATAGAGTTTATAGCTAACTAGGTTTACAAGGTAAAAACACACTCATCCTATAAATTATAATTGGGTGCGTAATATGCTAGTGAGTATGATGATGGGTATGAACATGAATCAGATGTGAGTCCTGCCTTCAAGGGGTACAGAGTCAGCTGGAAGCAGAAGAGAGAGCATGGACACAGACTGCCTGATTGCATACCAGGCTCTGCCCCTGGCCACCCTGAAACCTTAGGCAAGTTACTTAACAGCTCTACACAGGACTTCCTCATTTGTAACACGGACACAGCGGTGATGCCTACATCACAATGTTGATGTGAAGCTTAAATGGGTTATTGTGCATAAGGCACGGTGCCTGTCACACAGGATCAGTAACTGTGAGCCATTTTTAAACATATAGTTGGGGATAAGGCATGCATGTAAATAATTATAATGGAACGAATATGGTGATATTGCTATGGAAATTCAGAGAGAGGAGAGATTACTTGGGCTTTATAAGAGAATGTGATATTTGAGTTAAGCTTGAATGGGTAGGTAATATACGAACATGGAAAAATAGGACAAATCAGGGCAGCTTTAATATTAGAGATAGCATGAATAAAGGCATGCAGGTACAGAAGCCCAAGGAACCCTATGGGGAAGAAGTTGGGAAAATAGTTCAGGAATGCGGAAGTCCTCAGATGCTGGTTCAGGAAGTTTGTATTTGTGTTGCGCGTGGTAGAGAGAGAGAGCCATTGAGGAGTTTCCACAGGAAAATGATGAGGACAGAGCTATTGATCTGGTGACAGACCAGGGAAGGATGTTCTGGGTATTCTAACAGCCTTGTCTTAATCACTAGACCTCCAGTCTCGCTTCCCACTGGCCCATTTGCTAGAGGACAGGAGAGAGAGTACTCGGAGATACAAGATAATGATGTTCAAACCTGGGTTGCCCAGAGGTTGGACATGCCATTAACAAGTTTGGAGACTATAAAAGGATAGGTAGACTGAAAAGGAAGCCTTTGAATGCATTGGGACATGTTGGCTTGAGGTGTTGGTAAGTCCATGGATAAAGTTAAAAATAGGTGAAGGTTTGGAACCCTAGAGTGCCACCAGACTGGAGGTAGGGAGTACATAACAGCTCCTCAGAAATAAAGCTGGAAGCCTGAAGAATGGATGAGATTGCCAAGAGAAAATAGCAAAGACCAATCATTGGACAAGCCCTGTGTTTGGGGGTGGCAGGAGAAAATGGAGATGGAAAGGATCCATCAGAAAGGTCGGAGCACTGGGAGAATACAGAGTTGAGTACAGGAAGCGAAGGGTTTCAAGAGGGAGCATTTCAGGGAGCCTGGATATGACTTATCTGGGAGATAATAAGGCAGTAGGAATGAGGAGAGAAAAAGCTAGGGGTGTCAGGTAGAACTCAACTGTAGGGGCACCTTAAAATCTAGGTGGAGACATTTTGACTTATTTGGTATGAAGCAGGAAACCTTTATGTGATCTTGAAGATATTATTTCCTGGGGACTTAAGAGATTCATACTCTTACCCTTAAAAACAGAGACAGAGTTTGACAAGTCTTACTATTCCTCACTACCACTACCATTACTGATTATCGTGCCCTCCAACTTAGCACTTCTCTTTATTTTGTTTCTCTTTCTCTTGGAGAAGGGAGGTATAGGTATTTGATATTGACTGAGTTAAACCTGTTGCAAGTCCTACAACAGTCCTAGGGGAAATTTTTATGGTCTTGTTCCAGTGAGATCAGAGTTGAAACAAGCTGAAAATAAGTTTCCAGGAAACCATAAATTTATAGTGGCCGAAAACCCCAGAGTTGCGATATTTTCTCTATCAAAAAATCAACGATTCTCCTGCCTGAGGCAGAGGAAATAATGGGGACAAGAGCACCTTCTAGGAACTGGAAATCTTGATAAAGCTAAGGAAATCTAGTGAAAGTAAGGGAATGAGAAAGCAAGAAAGAGAGGAGATTGGGTTCGTAGAGTGGGATAGTCTAGTTTTGGATTTTAGAAATGGAATCATTCTAGGTTATGGCATGGAACGTTCATCATAGTGTGTTACTCAGAATAGAAATGATTATGTCAAGATGTTCGTTTTGAACAGATGTCCACATAAACCCTAAAGTGACTTGGGATGCCAGATAAAGCAGAGCGGAGGAGCACCGTGAGCTTTCCCTTCAGCCCTCAGCTCCATCATTACAGTATTGATGGGTCTTGCTTTACCAGACCTGCGTGCCTCATGGTATTCTGTCACTGGAAGGTAGTCAATGCATGTATGTAGAATTCACACAAGAAATTTTATCAGATTTACTGGTTATCATTGAGTCAGATAAATGATGGGAGAATTAATTAGGATGTCCAAAGACTGTCAAAGAGAATGTGAAGAGTGACTATCACGTACCTCAAAAGTCACGGGTTTTGACACATGGGTAGAAGAGTCATAGTCCAAATTTGGCATTGGGGCATGTGAGGAGAATGTAAGCTTTTAGGGAGAGGAGATTCGAAATGTGAAAGAATTTGCAACCTTTGAAAAAGAGGCTTCCTGGGAAATGGCATCCTTGGGCGATCCCAGATCTGATGGAAAGCAAAGTGAGAAAGGAAGTGGGAGAATAAGTTAGAGGGTAGAAAATGCAAATCAGTATGGGGATGATGAAAGCTAGTAATTGGAGGGCTTGTGCTCTGTATTTTACTAGGGAGGGAGAGAAGTAATAAGATGAGTTGAATTGACTCATCTCATAATTCCAAATGGAATTCTGTGCAAAGATTTCAGTGTCAAGCACTCAAAAGGCTCCAGATGTCTGTCTACTCATGGTTTATGGAGATAATAGCTGCTGTGTGGAGCAGAGGCAGGTGCAGCTGCCACTCCAGGTGGTGTCTGCAGCCAGGTCAGCACTGTTGAACAGAAGGTTCCAAACAGAACGTGGAAAAAAAGTAAAAAAGTGTTTAGAGAAGCGTCAGTTTGGCCCAGAGTCCCACGCCCATATGTGCATCACCCAGAACGCCAGCCTAGGAATGTGCTGGTGCAGGGCCACTATTCAGCAAATGGTTATTAATTAACTCAGGACAGGCTCACTTATTGCGTTAGCTTCTTGGTAGCCTGGGTTATAAGGATGTGAATTACAGAACAGGGAAATTTCAGAAGACAAATAGAGAGATCACAAGGCAGCTAGTGCAAGGTTAAGCCAAGGTGGTTTGGGAACCTTGGGGTAGAAAGGAAAAGGTAAATGAAATCTTGGAAAGAGAACCTCAAAGACACACATGAAAGGAAAAACTTTGTCAGTTTTCACCAGTTGATGAAAAATCTGGTCCTTAATCACACGTTTATGATTTCCAAATGCCTGAGATTTTTTTTTTGTTAGTTTTGGGGGTTCTGTTTGTTTTTACTCGTGAATTGTGTGGGGGCACGAGATACTTAAATATTTCTCAATGGGGGGGTGCTCCTGGCATTTTGAACAAGAGTTGCGTGTTCTGAGTACTACCTCTTGCGTTACTGACCCCCTGCTTCCTCACACAAGCAGCACATGTCAGCGCTAAGACCACTGAGAGCTCTTCCCTACTGCCAGTGCCTTTTAGGGGACTCACATCACCCCTGGTTAATATAGGATCTAGGGGAAACTCCCCCAGAGGAAAAACTTCGTTCTTTTCAGATATGTCACTGACCCATGTTTTAAGAGCAGTGATATTCTGGAGTTTCTTCAGTCTCAACTAAAACGAAGACCATGAATTCTGACTCCAGGGTAAGCAGAGGCTCCTGAACTTATTACTGACTCAATCTGATAATGAAGTGACATTTAAGTGCTAGCAAAACTGTGCAGCTATTTTTTCCCAGTCTTCTTTTCATACATCTGTGATTTGTAGCTTCTCCCATTTCCCTGAAGCCCCTCACCTATCTCTGGGTACCGGCACACGTCTTTAGGGAGGTCTGTTACTAGTGAATCTCTTTACACTCCCACCAGGTGGAAGGATTTTATGTTTTGGTTTGACAGGCACATCCCAGACACAGTTTAAGAAAAACCATTCCTACTCAATCTGCCTTTCCACCTCTCCAAGACGATCACTGCCGCTCAGGGGGCCTGGCGGTAGGACAGTGGAATAGATGAGCGCGTGCTGAGGAGGGAGCTCCAGCTGGCTCTCCCCTGTAGTTACTTCTGTTGCTTAACCACACCTGTAAATCCAAAGTCAGGCGGTGAGGAATAGCGTGGGCTGACAGACTGGTGGAGCAAGCCTGGAAGAATTGGTGAGGAAAACGTTTTCCTCTCAGCCTCAGGGAGGGTTGTGCCGGAAGGGAGTCTGTTGGCATAAATGGAGGTCTGTCTCTTTCTCAAGGCCTCTGAAATTTTAGGAGGGCTGCTTTTGAGAATGATATGTAGGGGGAGGTCCACTCCGTGGGAATTAGGATGTCTCTTCTGCTTAACTCTTAATTCCTCCTTCAAATCTGGATCTTTAAGGCTTCTTTCAGTCTTCCTTTCCTGTGGGTCTAAAAGTCTAAAGCTCATCTCCTTCCATCATCTCCGGCAAACATCTTGCCCACTACATACGCTCCCTTCCCCCAGGGAGACATGTCTAGTGCCTCTTCTACAGCCCAACACCAATGGACTTTGCCTCCACTCACCCCACTTTGCTCTGATATCTTCTATATTCTCTGTTCCCCTCGATCACTTCTTACTCTTTTATTCTATATTTGGAGAGATTTCATAGATGTACTTTCATTTTCAACCAAGTGTTGAAATCAGTTGCTCGCCTAGGTCGTGTGCATGGTGTAGCTCTCAGGAGTGAGGCCTGTGCCACGTGTGTATGTGTATGTACATGTCCATTCCGTGTACTTGCCCCCACTGGCCTCACCCCAGAATTGAGTAGAGTTCCGACTCATGGTCTATGCTCAATGATCCCTTGTGAATAAAAAACTCTTTCCCTAATCAGGTGGGAAAAAAAGGGGAGGCATGTGCCTGTCATTAGGGTTGGCAGCTTACCTGATTCAGGTACAGCAAGGTGACTTGGAACTCACACGTGTCTCTCTTCTCCTGGCAGGAAGATGAAGTGGTACTCCAGTGCATTGCCACCGTTCACAAGGAGCAGAGGAAGTTCTGCCTGGCTGCCGAGGGACTTGGCAATCGCCTGTGCTTCTTGGAACCCACTTCAGAAGCCAAGGTGAGACTGATTGCCTGCCCTGTCCCTTCCCCCATGTGGCCTCCCAAGCAGTCATTTAAGGGAAGGGGCTGCTGGGAGATGGTGATGAAGAAGGAATGTGAAAGGACACATTTATTTTTCAAACAGGGAGCAGATCAGGTTTAAAATATAACTCTCCTCCAGCCCAGGAAACACTGAAGTAGGAACCTAGAGCATTCTGCAGAATTAGCAGTGCTCTTGCCTGTCCGTGTTGTCTAGGAACTCTGGGAGGCCTGTAGCTCACTGTCAGTGCTGGCCAAAGAGGGTCTCCTAATACTCACAGGACACCCTTTTTGTTTTTGTTGTTGTTGTTAATTCCTGGAAATCTGAGTGCATGTTATTTTCTCCAGCTGTCATTTGATTGCTACGAGGACTCACAGGTGCTTGGGCCCACATTACACAGTGAGCACATCCACCCCTTTCAGTCCTGACTGTACGAGATTGTTGTGACTGTCCGCTGTGACCCATGGCAGAGGGGAATGTTTGCTCTGGTACCTACCTACCTACCTGTGTGGCGGCATGTAACATCACCTCTTCTGCCAAACGTTTCTCCATTTTCAGGCTGTTTCTGGTTTTCAGGATCTCTATGTCTCGGCATTCTTGCAGTACTTTGCAGTCCCGGCAAGACCTCTGTGTCAGTCAGGGTCCTCCAAAGAAACAAAGCCAGTAAGATTGGTGGGTTGATGGGTGGATATATAGACTGATAGGTAGAGATTTCTTTTAAGAAATTGGCTCATGCACTTGTGGGGGCTAGCGAGTCTAAAATCTGTAGGTAAGATCAGCAGGCTGGAAACTCATGCAGGAGTTAATGCTGTAGTCTCAAGAGAGGGTTTCTTCCTCTCCAGGAGACTTCAGTTGTTGTTCTTAAGGCCATGATCTAGTTGGATGAGGCACATCCCAGTTATCAAGGGTAATCACCTTTACTTAAAGTCAACTGGTTATAGATGTTGATCACATTTGCAAAATGCCTTCACAGCAACATAGAGACTAGTGTATGATCAAATACTTGAGTGAATACAGAATTTTATTGGGGATTTAACCCTATTCAGGATATGATTGCTTGCTGTGGCAAGTCCAGTTCACACTTAGCACTAATTAGATACTTTATTGAATAAATACAATACCAAACAAAATGCACTCAAATACCTTCCAAAAAATCAATTTTAAAGGCCTTTCTACTTAAGGTAATGGCAAACACAATAAAGGCAGACATTCTAGTTTAACATAATTGGCTGATTTTATATAGCACTTACATTTTTCAGTCCACAAGTATATTATTAAATGATAGAGAACATCTAATACAACCATTTCTACAAAACTAGGATATAAATTTCTAAGAAAGATTTTACAGACCCCATCCTTTCTACCCACCCCGACAGTCTAACACTAAAGAGGATAAAGCCAATGACTTTCCTTACAAAAGCTCATGACTAATGTCTGTTGCTTTGCTGTCAAAATCTGTATTTCTGATCCATTGTGAGCATTGAGACAAGATTCAAATATTCCCAAAAGAAAGAAGCACAATGCACGTTGTGATCTCCTATTCAGCACCAGTGAGCACTGCTTTTGAAACTGTCTCCTCCCGGGAATTGAATAAGGTCAGCCACATTCATGAGCATTTCCTCCACTGTAGTATTGTAGAAAGTCTCTCAAAGAATCCTCCTGTCTTCTTCAGCAACCAAGTTTATAGCCAAACCTTTCCTCCCAATTTGACCCCCTCTTCCAATTCTGTGAATATAGTTTTCATGGTTGGTAGTTAGATCATGATATTTCAACATATTAATAGTTTATAACAAAAGATACTTGTTGCGCTTCAGTCCCACAAGCCAGCAAGTCAGTAGTGATCAGAACATAGCTTGATCCTGATCAGCATTCCCTCACGGGAACGTCTCTTCCCTTCTGGTCCGTGTCACCATGCAGAGCAGAAACTGTGAATCCCCTGGTGTGCATTGTCTCCGTGAGCCAGTCCACCTTGTGCCTTGAATTGAGAAAAATTATAGCCTGCATAATGCTCAGTGTCTCTAACAAGTCACAAAGTGTGTCCAATTTCCATTTCTCTCTTTCAACATTAATATAAAACTGTTGGATTTCTTCAGAGGTCAATTCCTCCTTTTTCACCAGAATTCAAATTAGATCTCTCAGGAATTTTGGGGTCACTTCCAACACATCAGTTGGCATTGTGGCAGAAAGCAACACAATCTGAATACTTGCATTTAATTTTTGGAAAATTTCATAGGTTTGATCCTTACACCCTCAGCTCAACATTTCATCTGCTTCATCCAAAACAAACATTTTGATCCATTTGGGAGAAAGGTATCTTCTCTTTAACATGTCAGACACTCCCTGGTGTACCAACAGCAATATCCGGTGCTTCAGCATGCATTGTTTTGCATTTCATTTCAAATGTTTGTTCTACCAATGCAAGCCTGACAAGTTGCTCCCATATAGTCTCCAAGTTCCAGAATTATACCTTTTGTATCTTTAATACAAGGAATAAGAGCTGTCTTCTGAATAGCTGAAGGCGTCTCAAAACCATAAGCATAGATACCCTGGAGAAGAGACTCCTTTAAATTCATATCCTGAAAGTTATCAACAATCTCATTCCAGTTGCTATCACTTACACCCATCAGGGTCCATTCCCTCTGGGCTGCCATGTTCTCTGTTATAATTCATGGAGCCACCAGACATGATCTGAAGAACTGCTCAGTGCCAGACTGAAAAGTAGATGTTAATTATATCTACAAAATACCTTCACATCAAAACCTATATTGGTGTTTGGTTAAAGAACCAGTCACTATGGCCTGGCCAAGTTGACATACAACCAAACATCACACCCTCCAAGCTCAGTTTTTCACAGAACCTTTTTTTAAAAAACCTTTTTTGAAAAAATAACATTTTCCAAAAGGCCCACCTATAGGCATGTCATTTTCCACATAAACATACACAACACAGACACATACACAGAGTGTGGCCGAAACCTAGAACACTAGATGTGCATGGTGAGGGCCACCTCTCCCAGAAGCTCCCCACTCACGTCACTGTTTCTCCCTCCCGTGTCAGTCCCTGATCCCAGGGGCCAGACATCAGCTGGTACTGGGGGGACAGAGGTCCATTACAGTGAATGGCACAGAAAAGAGACAAGGAAGAATTTTATTGTTTGAAGGTCTTAGACTTGATTTCCCTGAGGCCTTTTCTCATTTGCTTTTGTTCTTAGCTAGATATTTTTCTTTTCACTCCAAGCAGTCTGAGATAATAGGAAGATCATTAAATTAGACATCAAGAAGTTAATTTTCAGCCATCAACTAGTCATGTGGCCACAGACAAATCACTTAATCTTGTTTTCAGTTTTCTCATCTGCCAAATGAGGTGCAGTATGGTGCAGTGGAAAGAGTATTGGCCTGAATTAGAAACCGAGTGGTACTATTTTCTAGTCATCTCTTCAGTGGGGAACAAGGCAGTGCTTTGGGCATGGGGTCTGAAGCCAGATTGACAGAGTTGGAATCCTGTCTCCATCACTTACTAGCCGAGTCAGGACCTTGGGCAAGGTACTCACCTTTCTGAACTGAGTTTCCTCATCTGCTTAATGGGAATTTAATATCAATAGTACTACCTTAAAAGATTGCTCTTAGAATTAAATGGGTTAAACCTGTGACACACCTAGCACACACAAATTGCCTAGCACATTGTAAGCTCTGTATAACCATTGGTTATATTATGATTTCATATTAGTCAAGATATTTAAACTGGGACTCAGTTTTTTGATCTGTTAAAATAAGGAAAACTACCTTTCAGGAAGACTGAAAATAAAGAGAAATAGTGTATGTAAATCACATAGTACTGAACCTAATACAGTGTACTTAGTAGCTGAAGTTGATAATAATACTAAGCATAATATTGTTAGCCCTTTTGACGTACAAAGTCTGATTTTGTGTGAAAGATTGTGGATC